ATCCATGGGAATATCATGATTAAGTGAAGAAGAGTTAGTTTCCCATTCCCCGCATGCACTTAACGAAGACCTGGATCCAGAGCGAGAGCGAGAGCGCGATCGCGACAAAGAAATCGGAACTGTAGAAACCGGCGGAGAGAGATCACGCGAAGTCGAGGTCCGCGCGGCCCTCCCCCTCTTGCCCTTCTTCGTTAGATTAATGTTCGCCTTTTCACCAGCGGATACTATAACCGGCGATGGTTTTTGCCGATTAGACAAAGGCGGGGGCATAGAATGTGCAGTCGTAGGCTGCTTATTATCGTCAGCGTCATGATCACCGCTCACACGTCCGAAAAAAGAATTAAAGTCCTCAAGGGGCGCAGAAAGTCGGTTACTAATGGGTGCCGACCCCCCGCCGGCATCCGGCGGGGCAGAGACCCCTTCCTGCATAGCAGGGACAAAGGCCTAGAAAGCAGGCAGAAAAGAGCTTACTTACGCGTAAAAGGAAAAGAATAACCTTACAGCGGAAAGCACAGATAGCGAGGAGAGCAGGCCAAAGCCGGGGAAGCACGGGAGATCAAAGCAGAGCGCAGGCTTGTAACGGTCCACACTGCACGAGAGCTCGCGAGCGAATGATGCACACTCGCTGCATGCATGATTCCTTTGACTATATACTTCTGGACTGCTAACGGCAGCCATTACTGGAATCCAAGATCTCAGAGCCATCAGGGGTCCGGAAGTTGACCAAATCAAGAACTAACTAGCTGCATTTCGAGTAAGAATCGGTACAATCGGGACGCGTGTTGAGGTTATACATTTTATTTAAACTATTATAAAATATTCAATTAAGGTCCTTACGCTATCATAAGCCGAGACAAAAATAAAAAATAAAATTTAAAAAAATGGTCCGTTATTGTTCTGCGGAAACGCGTGTAAAAATAGAAACATGAAATACAGTCCTGCAGGAATTGAGATTTAATGCTCTGCCATAATTCACTTTAAATATTTGAAATTATTGGTTTACTAGATTTACATTCTTCAATGTGTTCTAAAATGGAAGATAAAATGTTTGGCATTTCTAAAAATTTTTTAAGGACGATTTTCATCGAAATTACTTGAATTTTTGCGTTTAAAATAACAATTTTGCGTTTTCCTCCGATAAAATGAGAGCTTATCGATGCATGAATTCTGAACGATTGTGGTTTTATAAGAGTATTTATCTTTTCAAAATATTTTAAACTGAGA